TCCAGAGCCTTCCTTGCTCGGGGAGGGGGGGTTGTTTTAATACTTGTTTGTTTTTGTTTATTTTCCCATGAAGTCTATAATAATTTATTGGCATGTAGGTCCTTTCTGCCTACAGGCCAGGAGTATCTATGCCTCGGGTAGTGTACTCCCTCCAATGCCTCCTTCACGACTTCTTTCCAGCAGTAATACCCCCACAGGTCTTCATTCGAGTACACACTAAGAGGAGCCATTATCCCGTCATTATCTCCCCTCTCCAGCCAACTAAACGATGGCCATTTGCGGGTGTGTAGCTGCAGGGAAAAGTCTCAAAATTCACTGGGTGCGGGTCTCTCCTATGACGAAGATGCCGGCCAGCCGGGCGCAGCAGACCTTCGTATACCTAAGAGTGTCTCTCAACCTTTCTAGCCTCCTCCTTACTCCTCCCCTAATCCATGCCGCAGGACAAACCAAAGGTCGTGAAAGGATGTCAGAAAAGTCTTGGTCGAGAATGACTGCCGTGAAGGAGCCTAGCCCAGCATCCAAAAGTAGTTACGAACGTGGGGTCGTTGAGTAAAACATGTATTTCAGATGCCTTCCTGGCTAGTAGATTCAGAAGTTAAGATTGGTATGGACGATATTATAGACGAGTCGAAATCTGCTTTTCTTGAGGGCGGGAGGATCTTTTACTTTGCTTTCGTGGGCTTTTTGTTCGCCCGCTGGTAGGTAGCACATGTTGTGATACAACGAGGGCTTCTATTAATACCGTTATAGCGTTTGGTACCGCGGTATCTTTCCTCGTTCACAGCATCATTATCGTCGTCTTGGTCGTCTTATGAGGTATCGAAAGCGTATCTTTGACGGAGGGGTAGATACCTCAGCTCGAAGTTAAAAGGTTTCACTATCTCGGCTCTACAGACTCTTCAGTGAGAGCTGGACGTTCTTAAGGGACTCCACTGACAGGTGTTGAGATTTTGTCTCCCTTAACCACTGTACTGGATCACACCAATGCCGACCGAGCAGAAGATCTGGGGAGTGTGCATCGAAGCGTGGACCCCCCCTGTTACCAAACCACCTCGCTACCCAAGATTCCAGTGTTTGACTGGCTTAACTTCATCGCGAAGTTGGGCTAATTTCGTCGCCACAGCATTGTCATCTCGGTAGTCTACTCTATTACCCCCCATGATTTCGCAACCCATGTTCCATTCAAAGGCGACAAGCGATGCGTGGGAAACACCGTCCGGTAAACTAGAAACAGGCCAATAGATAGTGACATTTCACTAGACCCTGGATAGGTATGTGATGCAGATTGATGGAATTGTGATGGTTAGTCTTCCTTGATGATGCATTAAAAAAAAGCCCTACTATATACAGAAATACTGCGCGCCTCCATCTTTGTTTGATCATGAGGATGGATGCAAGTTGAAAGATGCTCTAAAATCCGATGTAGTCGTCTCCTGGGTTGAAAGAATCCATGGGATGGAAATGTTGGATTCTAGGATGCTCCTGAGTTAATGCAGGATTGCCTCCTGATCATGTATACAGTTACTACATATTTATTTAGTTTGAAGTCCTCAGCTGAACTTTTCTATCTATTCAGATGTTAGACCGGTGGAGCCGGCCGAGATTCACCCTTTGAGAGGTACTGCATAATTGATTTAAAAAATCATATTATAAATTTTATCGTGAGGGTATGCAATTGCAGGGGACAAGATAATTATGGAGATATGCTGCAGATCTTGGTGTTTCCGAGACAGCTCAGGCGGCAACATGTGTAGGGCGAGATTTGTCGCTTGTCCAAATACGGATCTCAAACAGTTCTGAGTCAGCCTTGAATCACCATACGCTGATGATAGTTTCTACGACTACCGTGCGAGAATTATTGCATAAAGTTTATCGTCCAAGCCTTCCGGTATTGATCCCGTAACTGGAAGATCTATCGAACTTCGAAGATGGTAGCCTTGCTCGCTAATGCCTTCCGGCCCGGACGGGTTGTTTCATCCTAAGCATCAAGGGACACACCATAGGCAGGTCTCCAGCCTGAAGCACCATCACTACGAGAGTCATGCTAAACTCTGAGTCTCCACGAGTGCTGTCACTCTGACTCGCTCCAGCTTTTCAATCTCAAACATGTTCCCTTGAAAAATGGCCTACGAAGACTCGAGACCTTTTGGCGACATCTAGTGCGAACTCGAGGATAGAATACTGTTTCAGAGACGAGCCTTTACCAATTTCGCACAATAGACACAGTTAGCTCATGCAACCATGACTCAGGGTTTCGAATCAACTCAATCTACGTTCCTTTCACAGCTATATTCCAACCAAAATTTCACCACGTCTACATTTACGACAATGTAAAGCCTCGTTTCAGAGACTTCACACCCATTCAACTAATTCTAGCCCACAAACAAAAGCTCCGACGCTCTAAATACATGCAACAGGACTCTGAGTAATGCGCTAATATTTTCTGGAGAAGACTTGCTCCAAGATCACAAGAGGTGAAGGGACACAGCCTTGGAAGGAGAGAAGATTGGTTATGGGGAGAGAGGGCAGAACACAGGAGATTACTGTGAACACCACTATTTGAATAGCGAGGGTAGGCGATACTTTTAATCGGCCAAAGATGACGTCGTGATCTACCATCTGGATTCGGCCCGCCATTGAATCATTGAAAGCCCCTAAACTTCCTGTCAAACTCCTGATAGTTTGGAATTTACTGAATATAGTAATGAGAATCATTGGATATTGGGATGACACATATCAGATTAACTCACTTGAGCTTTGATGTCTCACCAGGGACATGGTGATCAGGGTGTTCAAGATGTTCAGGATAGTCAGGATGTTCAAAGCTCCAACTTGAGATCTTTTGATCTCCAACACATGTAATATATTTCACATGTAATTTTGGGAAACGAGGAATAGATAATCTCTTCAGGAAATAGTTTCAGATGGGTATATAGCATCAAGGCTGTAGATGAGTTTAGGAGCAGAGATTTCATCAATACAAGAGTAAATTCGTAGTTCTCAGCCTTAGCTGCACCAGTAGCTTAGCCCTAGGCATTATTCGATTTGCTCGGGATTACATCGCTTCACCCACAAAAGCATCGATGCATAACTAATTCAGTCCGTCCCATGACCCACAAGGGGCTTTAAAAGTATCATCACTCTAGTGATCCGCCTGAATCGGCATCCTTGGTTGATATTAGAAGCTCCAGTTGCCTGCCTCACTCAAACTACAGTCATTGGCTCGAATCCGGGAAGACCCAACTGTATCTTGCGCCGTCCCCAGGCGTAACATCATATTTTAGACATGACAGGGCGGTCAGAGGGTGTCAAATTTGTCTTGGGTAGCCACACATACTAGGGGTGAGAGCCTGATTCCCTTCGGAGAGCTCAGGAAAATATCAGCCAATGTGATCAGTTACGTGAAGCGCTTCTTGACGTGTAAGATAAATCAAATTCTTCAGTCGAGTCATTAATATGGTCTAAAACACGTTACTTTTCATGATGGAAATCTCTGGAACCTACTTGGCTCTCCAGGCGGATTCCCCACTGTCCACAAGGCTAGAATCAAAAATAATCTGGGTAAAATAAAGTAGATTTAACCAGCTTCGATCAAGTAGATTTTAGAAATCTCCCATAGTCATAGACTCAGATGGGACTATAATGTGAATATAATCCAATCTCCACGCAGAATTGCAGGTCATGATTTGTGGGAGACCGAAGTCGGATATGATGCATACCCTACACTCCTAGCATACTAGATTTGTGCGAGACGGGCTACTGGTTACAGCGGAGTAATAACTCGAACGGTAGAGATGTGCCCTTGCCCTATGCGCTACCAATCCATCAGGGACCCATAAAAGGTGAGTCATCTTCGGCGTCGAAAAGTCGGTGAGGGTGTGGCTGTGATCCGTTTTGACCACTTGGATCTAGGAGGGGATGGTATGTACAGCCCAGTCCGAGTACAAGACACTTTTGAGCGCGCATGTATCACGATTGTTGGAAAAGTCGAGGCCTTGGTGGCGCGGCACGCTGAGAGTTTATCGCCACGGCGCTTAAGTTATGGAGCTGAGATGATGGAAAACGTTCTCGAGTCGAGACGGAGAGCTGAGCAAGCGAGTTCTCAATCGCAATAGTGTTCGACACATTTAAGGTTGTTTGAAGGGTAGCTGAGACTAGCAGGCAATGATTGCATTTTGGTTTGGTTTCCACGCTCAACGAGTCTCGGCGATTCGCATCTGCATTCAGAGTAACTGCCTGGACGCTTGAGTCTACGGAAACCGTTGAACATTGAGTTACTTTGCTTTCTGGAGAGTCGAATATCTAGTCCAAGGAATGCTTTAAATTTACTTTTGTAGACTGTGCTGCCTACCGCCATCACAATGCAGTACTCATAAAGTCAGTGATAGGCAGTGTGGACGCTACGATGATTGCTAAGATGAGTATTCCCCAATCAGCCTATAGACCTTCCTTATTCTACCATGCGTGACCGTGGTTCGTAGAGATTATCTCCAGCCCTCTATCGCCTGCATTAACTTCACAGGCGTGGAGTGTACACTGAGCTTTATTTTCTCTTAGATCAGCCTTATGTTGTAACCATACATTTGCCGAATAGATTTTACGACAACCAAGTGTGGCTAAGTAGTCGCCCCTCATGTTCCATGGGTAAGTTTGGCATTTACTACGTGGGAATCAGAGCGTGATGTGGCCTGGGTCAGAGAGGAGCCCAATGTGCTAGATAGTCATAGACTCAAGTAGAACATTTATCACACACACAACATATCTCATCAGAGCGTGGGTTGTAAATTTATTTAAGTATGTTAAAATAGACTATTTTTTTGTATTACTAATATATATATATCCTCTATTGAATTAGTTGAACCTTAAATTATGCCAAGAAGGCTAGGGTAATCAGGAGGGGATATTCACTGCCTCTACGGCAACAAGTTTTACACTTTAGGAGACAGCCAGCGCCCCAAAATAACCTTGTACCTATTTGTATGTATCAATCCTAGGGACGACTAATTAACAGTCATCACCATTGGTCCAGCTACAGTTATTGAATCTGTCAGCATACCATCTGCCGGTGTCGAGCTTGCTAGGTGGACATATGTAATACCCGTCAGACCCATAGGAACGACGCATGCTCCATTCTGGAACGGTGTAAAGGAACTTCCACCAGTTTGACCGCCGTTTACAAAAGCACAACTTGTGGCGCTCATTGCCGCAGGAGACTCCATCCTGACTTCCGTGCCGCCAACCAACTTTGTCATGCTTTGCGTTGGAGACATGGTTAGCTCTGGGAATGGTGTGATGGCTAAGTTTGAGCCATTTGGACATGATTGGATAAAGTTCGCCGCAATAGAGAAGACAGCACGAATCCCAAGAGGTGTATCAAAGGCACCAGGTATCGCAGCTGCTTTGGAGGCTGTGCGGATAAATGTTTGATGGCGGGCCTCGACAGTGACAATCTCCGCAGCGACGGTAAGAATAGCCGGGGATTTTACAAGGGGTGCTGCAGCTAGGTAACTGATATCAAGAAGTTAGCCACAATTCATTGTCACTGATATCCATTGGAATTCGACGTACGCTGAAACACCCACGTTCTCCAACACTCCTGCGGTAGCCACCATACCAGCCGCATTCGTAAATTTGAAGTCATAGGTACACGGCTGAACTGGTGCTGCCCCTGTACCAGCTATGGCGGCTGCGAGGGTCGTGACATGGGTTGCCTCGGTACCGCCAATTGACTTTAAGTTCGCGATATCTGCCTGCTGAAGGCCCAATGCGGCAAAGTCTGAGTCTGGGAATTTTGCAAAGCCCTGCTGGTAAAAGGCTGTCTCGAGATTTTCTAAGGTTAACGCACTATGTGGATTAGCCACTGGCAGAGCTGAATTCAGTGGTCAAGATACTCACAACTCTAATATGTCTGTGTCGGTGACTGAATCTGGTAAGCCTGTTTGCGGATTCTGCCTGGTTTCTAACAACGAGCTCCTGACTTGCTGGCCAGCTTCATAGGCTCTGATGGCATGAGAAGATAGATAAGGCAAAGCGGGTAATGCCGAAGTAGTACTTATCCAAGCTATGAAGGTCAAGCTCACTACCTGTTTGATGTTTTGCATGGTGGTAAATTTAATTGGTGTCCCGGGAGGAAAATTAGGTATACAGATATATTGTAATTGGAAGATGCTGGTGTTCAATTATTTGAATATGCTGAGGGTAATTATGTAAAGTATATTAAACCAGACCAGCTCGTGTATTGTGAAATATAAATAAATTTTAAAAATGATTAAGAAAGAAGATGAATTGATTGATATTGTAAAGCGGGTGCTCATCGTCTGCTTTAGTAAATGTTGCTCAGCAGTTCAAACATATCGTGGCTCGAGGGCTGTTCATTCGTGTCAGAGCCTTGTTGCAGGGGATCTGACTTACGGTGCTACCAAACTCCATCTTTTGTTTGAAATAGTAATGATCGAGGTAGGACGTTTCAGAGTCATGCATACTATCTCCTCACTGTATGGCGCCATTCCTCATGATTCGATTGCGATATGAAGGTTAAACACGAACAGTCTCTCGAGTCAAATACTGGGCTGCTCAAATATTTTCTACAGACATATTTCACGTGTTTAAACAGTATTGGTTCCGAAGTTTGTAATAATCATATTTTTCTTCATTGCCATCATAACTTGTGTTCCAAGTATGATATTCTCTCTACAACCATGCAGGAACTAACTATCAATTACGCGTGCGCCGACATGAGATTAAGCTAGACGTAATAGTGCTAAAGATATAGCCATAAAATCAAACGTCTTAGCAAGACGCATAAAGGAACCCAATTACAAAGTTTCAATAACATCATCACCCACTACGGATTATGCCATACTTCCATCATCCTAGCCATCTCTAACAAAATTTGACATTGGTCGCAAGGCACACATTATTCTGATTCCCATGGGAGTCAAATATTTTCTCTCATATTGCTAAAGAAGGGGTGTTTGACCCTGTGAAACATCAAAGGGCATAGGGGTTAAGGGATCGAATTGTCAAACAACTACTTTAAATTAATCGATAATATTTACTCGTGGGTTAGGGTGACTTACGGTGGACTCTTGGTTAGGTCAGTTTTTAGGATTACAGGAACTCGCATTAGCTCCTTTACGTCTTGAATATATTCTCCGTTTTCTTCACGAAGAGTGAAAAGTTTCGAGTATTTTTCCCTTGGGCTAACCTTAATCTCCGGCTGTACGGCCGCGTTAGATCTAGACTCCGATTCGGTACATGGATTAGCATTAGTAGTCGTTGAGATGTTAGTGGGGGACGAGGGTACACTCTGGGTTGGTCGGTCGGTGAGGGATGTTCCAGCTAGACTTTCGGCCATGTCTGAAATACAATCATCGTCGTCGAAGAGAGCATCAACGTCATCCGTAGGAATAGTCCCGCTCTCCATCTGTTTACGTTGAGCCTCTTCATGCTCTTTCTTTGCTCGCTCTGCAACTGCCGCCTGTTTAGCAGCAGCCGCTGCCGCATAGTTGGAATGATGAGAGATACTCCCTTTGTTTCGCTCATCCTCGGGAACATAAGTAGACGAGGATACTCCCTTCTCCCAATATAGCTCAAGAACTCGATCTTTTTTGCGGAACTCGGCCTTTTTCAGTGGTAGCTGATCGCAATGGACTCGCTTTTCAAATCCATATTCGGGTATTAGGACATCGAATGCCGAATCATGAATACAGATGACGATTCCCTCTGCAATAAGTTCTCCACCAGCCTCTTCACGCTTTCTATCCATGATCCTGCAAGACTCAATGTGAATACTCTGCTCCTGAGCATTTAGGGCAGAATCTTTTTTAGTGTTGCAAGATTCGGCAGTTTTTGCAAGAGTTTCGAGATCTTCGACATATTCAATCTTGCCATCCGAAAGGACTGCTTCTAGTTGACGATGGACAACTAGATCAGCATAGCGACGGGATGGACAAGCAAAATGTGTGTATAGCGGCAAGTTCAACGCATAATGTTCATAGATTTTGGTAGAAGTTTTACCGGGTACGAAATATTTTGCCCTGTGCATAGTTTTAACGAAGAGAGTTTCCATACCCTTCCGGACATCTGCATCCTCGATTTTAAACAAGCTATTTTGTATACTTCCGCTACTAGTTGTATCGATAACATGTCCGATCAAATTCATACGCTCCGCGAAGGTTTGAAGGCGTCCTGGTTTGGGTGCGCTCTGACGGCGGAGAAATGCCTTTTCGGGTAGTCCTTTAAAGATCTTTTGCGCAACAAAGGCATTAGCTTTATGCATAAGCTCTTCAATAACTTCGACAGATGGAGAAGAGTTGAAAATATTTCGCTCAACTAGACTGTTTTCATCATCAAGCTGATAAATCAGACGTAAGGGTGCAACTTTCTCGTCAGTATTGAGCCTAGTTTCACGCCAGTTCTGAGCCACGTTCTACAATCGTCAGTTAGAGCTGATATACAGCTATAAGCACTTACATGTAAATCTCTCAGCTTGCAGCTCCCACTTTCATCCTTGCTCTTAGATGATAATATGTCATCCATTTCAGCGCGTGAAATTTTGCTAGAGCTCTTTACAATGCTCTTGCCCACCCATGTCTCTTCTTCCAAGACTGAGCATGTTTGAGGTTGGACTTTGAATACGACACTAACTGCAAGCCGATCTTGGAGTGGGATGAAGGAGCACAAATTTGTTGCTATTTTTGACGGGTAAATGGCACAGGAGCGGGTCATTAAGTATACAGCCGTACCACGACGCTTGGCCTCACGATCAACCAAGGAATTAGCTTTGACAAAGTGCGAATAATCTGCAATGTGAATGCCAATCTCCAAGTTACCAGACGCTTCAGTCTTCACGTGAATAGCACAGTCGTGTTCGTCGGTTCCGTTAAGATCAACTGTGAATATTTCTTCTTCCCTGAAATCTCGCCGTTCCAAAACCAGCTCTTGATCCTCTTTTTCGAGTGACCAGCCGTCGAGATCGACACTTCGTTGCACTGCGTCAGAGAATTCATCGTTTGCAAAATTGTTATCTCGCAATAGCGCATCTGTCTCAACTTTTAGTTCTCCCATCTTTCCTAATTGTTCGACAAGGGTCCCGAAAGGATGAAGAGATGTGATTGGCCATCTTTTAATGCACGCGACGAATATACGATCTGCATAATCTTGATGTTTTTCAACAAAGTCGCGAGGAGCTTGCTCGGTGGGAATGGCAATGAGTGGCACTCGTTTATCAGTGGGTTTAAACCAAACTATTTTAGGCTTATCTTGATGGCGCTGCTCGTGAAAGCGCCCGACCCCGCCGTCCCGTGCTTGACGTTCAGCCTCTTGTTTCTCTTTCGTAGCTTGACTGCTGGGCCGTAAGAGGCCAAGCGTCCCAGAGAACATTTGGCCAGGAACACGCTCAATCACTGCAACGATATGCCCAGCATATAACGGCTTCTGATCATCGTTGACCTCTTCTTCCTCGACCAAAAGAAGGCTTTGGCCTTCTACTTCGACGTCGTCATTTTTCTTCTGGGTAGGCCGCTGTCTAAGGCTTCCACGTCGTCGAATGCCGCCATCGCAAGAACCGAACTGGTCGTCAGAATTGTTAGAATCCCTGTAAGAATTACCTCCATTGGCGATACTGCCAGATCTGTTATCGGTAAAATCCTTTCGCTTTTTTTTCTCTTCCTTTTCTCGTTTTTGCGCCCAGACCTCACCAACGTCAAGCAATTCAACAGCAACTAGGTCGCCTTCCAATGCGCGATTACGATCCTTACTTCCACAGATAAATATATCAGCGTCGAGAAGTCCGTCCTGCGTGGTAACATAGGCATCACTTCTGTTCTTTTTATTTACACGAAGTATGCCTGATACGAGCCGACCATCTCCTAGCAATGCTGGTAGAGTGGCTTGTGGAAGATAAGGTGTAAAGAGGGTCTTTCGCTGCTGTTGTTGTTGAGCCTGTGTAGGGATTTGCTGGTTGTTCACATGACCATTCATTTGAGCCGCTTGCAAAGCTTGTAACTGGTTGATTTGTAGCGGGTTAAGCTGTTGGCCGGGAAATATTGGTTGTTGAACGAGGGCCATTTGTCCTTGAGGCAGGGGAACGAGTTGAGCCTGCCCTCCAAACTGGAAAGAGTTCAGAGTTGCACTGATAGACTGGTTCACTGAGCTACGAGAGCGATGTCCGGGCTGAAAGTTACCCTGTTGTTGCTGGTTCTGGAAATTATTCAAATTTTGTTGATCTTGCGGTGGCTGGGTCGTATTTGTATTATTCCTCCAATTTCCATCAAAGTTTCGTGATGAGCTTCGCGTGTGGTTACTGTAACTTCCCCTTCGCTGGAAGTCGTTGGGTTGACCCGCACCGTTCGAATCTTGCGTGGGAAATTGAAATGACCCACCTCCACGAGCTGCTGATCCACGTCTAAGTTCAGGTCCAGCAGCTACACTTTGGCTTCTTCCATGAGATATACGAGTTCCTCGCGTATTAGAATTAGGTGTAAGGAAGCTATTAGTATTTTGAGTCTGGCTGGATGCTTCATCCGGTGCCGTAGTATCTGAAGCCGCGCCAGGTAAAGGAAACTGAAATCCAGATGTTGTTCGTTGCTGTTGGGCAAGTTCAGCAGCTTTTTTAGCCTCGGGTAAGGCGAGGGAGTGACGCCTCTGGTGACCGCCTGCGGGGGGTCCACCCCCACCCCGACTACCTTTACCTGTAATATTTTCTCTATTTTGAATGTTGAAATCGTTAAAAGCTATAGAAGAAGTCCCAGATGATGGAGCTGGAGGTGGCCCCATGCCCATGTTTGGAACTGCAGATTGATTCCGACGGTGAGACATTGGCTGGGCGGGAGCACCCATATTACCATTGATCTGTGACTGCTGCATTTGATTAGGGAATTGAAATGATGATTGTGATGACATGTTTGGTAGCTGTTGCTGCTGTAGGGGTGTAAAACCACCTCCTTGAGCAAGATGTTGTGTGGGAGGTATCATCCCCATGTTAACGTATTGCTGATGTGTAGCTTGAATCTGCTGCTGTTGCTGTTGAAGTAACTCAATTTGTTGTTGAATTGCAAGCTGTTCCACTAGAATAAAACGTGTTAGCTATGTATCCTGGAACTTGGGTCTGGTAAAGGCTGAAGGGAAACACGGAAGATTAGATCCTACTTACTTCCAGGTGATGAAAACATGCTCATTAGCGGTGTCAGCTCGGATGGGCTTCTTCGATGAGCAATGTGAAGTCTTCGAGCTGAAGGACCAGTGGCACTACCCTGAGGCGACTGGCATTGCTGATGCTCCATACTGGAGCGTGCACGTCAAGTGCGATTGAGGTGGGAACAGTGGTGGGAGGTCCAGATGCTTCTAGATGATGGAGAGAATTTGGTTAAATGAAAGGATGTGAGTTGATTTCAAGGAGCGCTGCACGAGAAATCGAGCTATGTTTAAGGAGGAGAGGGAGAGCGATGGGACGTTTCTGGAAGCTGGCCAGTTGTGCGAAGTTAGGGGTCAAACTGTGGGCTCGAGCTGTACCCAAGTTACTTCTTGGCAGCACTTTCTATTTTTGGCTAGCGCCTAAGACCGCCCGGCAGAACGCACCTGAATTGGCGACTTCCACACTTGCGACGAAGTCAAATGATATAGTATTATTTGTTACACCTTGCAGTTCGCGTTTCTCATCTATCTCTAAACTATGCTAGGTGAAATAAATAATGTTGAAAATGAGGAGAATTCAATTCTGACTAATAATATGAATATGCCTACCTTTGAAAATGACTTCAACTACAGTCTTTTCTCCTTGAATTTGGAGGACTTTCACGGTACCCTTCTCTCAGCGGCCCAGGCAGAACATACAAAGGTGCGAGAGAGAGCTTTGCGCCTCCTTGAATTAGACAGAATACGATGTGAGCGAGAGGCCTTGAAGGAAGCAGCAGATGCAGCGGAAGAGCGCGTTCGTATAGAAAGCGAAAAAGTTCGCGAAGAGTGTCGCATTCGTGAGGCCGAGAAGAAGGTCAGGGAGATCTCAAAGCCAATAACCTTGCCACCATTACAGCCTCATGTTCCAACCTCTTCTACAGTGGGCGCTCAACCCGTGCAACCAACAATCGCTTTTCCGTCCTTTCCGATCAAAGCTACCTCGCAAAATGGAGCTCTGGCATCAAAATCGCAACCATTGGTCGAATCGAAACGAGACAATATCATTGAACTCGCGACGACCAAGAGACCTCTTGTTCCATCTAGTGTTACAGTGTCTACTTCTACGGCATTACCGACAATTAAACCTTCCCTATCCACTGCCAAATTAGTATCAAATACCAAAGAACAGTCAATCGTCACGCCACAGCCTACTACGTTTGGATCACCGACAGTGGCAACTGGAAAGCTTGATCAGGTAGGAAAGTTTTCTATATCACAACCTAGTGCCTCAGCAAAAGTTCTGAACCAATCCACCGCGCAAAGATCAAAATTTCACCAGCAAACCCAGAATTTTGTAAACACGACACGCTATCGAGAGATTCATGCAGAAATGAAACGCGTGCGGAAACTTGTCGAAGACCAGGTCGACCCTGACGGAAACTCTATGAAGCTGAAGAACACATGTAGTGAGGGTCGGCGTGAGATTACCAAAGCACTTGGTCAATTAGTCGTGGGAGGCAATAATTCGACTATTGTAAGTCTCATAACTACATTACCACGTCATGCTAATGTCTGTGCAGGTGAATAAGGTTATACTTAAACTTCGAGAGGCCCTCAAGACAAATTACCAGCCTATCCCAGTATCCCTGTTTACTGTTAAAAATCATGAAGCAGTTTCAGGAGCGACATTGACTGAAGACGGTGTCGACATGAACTCGGATAAGTTACCAATTGTTTTCATCTATCTGATCGGTTCTCTTTGCAAGTCAATATGTGCTCAATTGGTCAGTGAGGCAGCTGTGAAGCCTCTAGCTGCCACCCCTATTGGTATCCTCACGGCCAAGATATTCTCGGATCCACGACTTCATTGGCGGGGTAAGTCACTAATTGATGTTTTAATATCCAAAATATTTATTGCCTGTCCTATTCTGTTTGGAGTAAGTGGGGATGATTTGACGGAAGAAGGCCGAGTTCGAATCGGCTGGCGCAAGATTAATGGGCGTTTTATTTCGGAGCAGGCGCACTACGACCGTATGTCAGGTATTGCTGCTGGGTATGCAGCTATTTCCCTTCGGGACTTCAGCCGGACGAAATGGACTAACCCTTATCCACCAGTCAACTACTGGTTTGCACTATCAGCGGTAGTAAGTACACCCGACAGAGTGAATTCACCTAGCCGTTTTGTTGTCCTAAAAAGCTTGGTTGAGCATAGTTTTCCTCGCTTCATCCAATTCTACGGCGACATGGCAATTGCAGCACTACACGCAGCCCTAGTAGAGTTTCCTAAACGAGGGGCTGAAAATAACCCAGCGGTAGGTACGCTCAAAGCACTGGGTACGACGCTTTTGAGAGATCACGGACTCAAGTTATGATGAGCTAAAAATCGTGTTCACGATATCGACGGCTGGAGTAGGTTACATAGCTATCAAGGCTTGTCATGTAATACTGGCGTATGGGGAATAGGATTGGCGTATTACGTATGAATCCGATGTTATTACAGCCGTTCGGGGGGGAGTTGAAGGGTAGCTGCCAAATGATCTATCAACTATTTACATTGCTTGTGTCACAGATTCGAACTGATGCCTGAATGAAGCTCTTGCCTATCAGTCGGCCATGACCCCTACAATTTATTTGCTTTCCACCTGCATCATCAGTGGTGAGCGACAATCAGTCTCTCGCATAGTGGGGCGTGGATGATGAGTATTGTCAGCATGATTCAGAGTGCCACTTTCGCAAGCCCGCCAACACTTCACTTTGATCATATTTTAGAGATGAAAGTGAGTGACAAGCAGCAACACACTGACATCGCTCAGACGCGCGAGTGAGGTTTAAAGGGGCCCCTATAAAATATACATCAGCTTGCTGGTTTGACCTACGGTAGCTATATGGTCATGGCATATGAGTATTTGGCCTGACCTTTGAGGCATATGAACGATGCTGCCCGGTGGTTTCTCTGAGCAGGTGCTCAGTAGCTCGCAATACTGGAGCTCGTGACCCGCATACTCCTCCACTCAGCTACTCGTTATGGGACCCTGACTAGTAAGTATGAAAGAGATCGGCGGGCAAGTCTCGCCCTTGATGTACTTATTTCCGCCCTTCGTCGCTCTTTTCAGCGACCAGTGATGCTCATTTTAGGGCTAGGCGTATCGACGCCGCCTTCTTGAAAATCTGGCATACGACATACGTGTTCACGTGACTATCATCTCACAAGAGTACAGAGCTTACAGTGCACTACCATCTTAGTACCAGTAGGGCCCGCTCTTCGTTCACCACATCCGTGCGTACAGGGGAGACCAAGAGGTCATAGTGGCTGAAGGCATCTAGGTGTACAGGAGATGCCCGTCAAACTCTCAGCCGTCCGCCGACAGCACATCGCCGCACTCGCATTGGTCGGTAGGAAGTCTGAGAGGCAGAGGGGAAAAATGGTGATGCGTGAGCTGCTGCGGGTGACGACGGGCCTCTGAGACACCGGGGTACATTGACGTTTGGAGCGGATAACTGAAAGCGACCGTGAACCTGGAATTCCAGTGTATCTCTCCTCGTCTTCTTGCAGTAGGCCACACCGCCTGCCAGACTTTGTTAAACGCAAGATACACTGCCAACCAATTGGCGCTGTTGTTTACTTAGGGCCATGCGGCCTGAGTATTTCATAGTATGTTCCGCTATCATCGTGCGAGTTCCCAAATCACGTGTATTAGTAAGCCTTAGGCTCCGTCCCTTTCAAACTCAGGTGGCGATGTGGATTGATTTAATTTGATAGCCTCGCAAACCTCAGTGACTACTTTGCCGCCTGTATTTCAAGAGAAGCTGTATATGTGCACTATCACATTGCCACACACCCGGTTGTCCATGAACATTACCTGGCTCAAGCAGCCGATGCCGCACTCGTCTTCATCCGTATCTGGGATGCAGCTGTCACTTCTGTCTCATTGGCAGGCTGGCTATTCGCTTGCGGCAGTTTCAGACCCTCCCAGATTCTCCACTAATCCGCATTGCCCTAGACATGAAATTGTTCCGAAATGAAACGGGTCCGGCCCTTCCATGATGCAGGTGAGTACTCAAGCTATTTCTCTCGTTTGAGCTCTGAAATCTGATTCATGCTCAGGAACGCTATTTGCACCTTAACCTCTTCTCTATTTTGCGAGATCGCATTGGGTTAAAGCTTAAGCTCAATTGCTTGGACCTGCTAAATGCATAGCCAACAATAAATGAGAAACTTACTGTAAATTATCTAGATAACAGATACCGCCTCTCACCTCCGTTAGCACTCATTCACACTTGGTGATTTTTAACATGACAGCATGCAATCAGAAGCTGAAATCCGCTTAAGCTGGAAAGATGTGCCTCACGAGGACGAGGAATTAACATCTATCTGTAGTGAATTACACAAACCTAAGGATATTGTATTTTTCTAGGTCTAAGCTTGTTTGCTTTTCGCAATATTGGAGTATTACCCTCGAGGCAATGACTAAGGCTTTCAACTATTTTAACCCTTACCTCCAAGCAAGATCCATACTGTCATGGTACCTATGGTTCTCGCTTATGACCTGATCTATAAGTCACATGACGTACAATTATCTTACTTATCTGTATGATTGATGCTAGCGCAGGAATGAAGTATAAGTGTAAGCAGACTTGTGCTTGCATAAGTCTGGATCCAGTCCAAAAGCGAAAGGACGATCTGCGTGCAGGCATGTCAGACTAGTAATGATGATCAGGGGCATCAATAGGGTAGAACTAGATATTATAGTGCTACGATGGACTCGTAGCACGGAGACAATTAATCAATTCATTCTTGTGTTCGCTTTTACCTTTTGACGATTCACGTGACATTCGCACGAAGACCTCTCTAAGTTTTACAATAAGTATCTAAGTAGTTGCACTCTAGGATAGATTGTGCAACGTCTTATTGATATATTCTTACCCGTACTTCGTCCTCTCGTACCTCCGATCTGCTTGTGACTCCGTTCCAACGAGACCTACCCGTGATACATACCGAATAAAATCTCAAATAGTCTACAATTATGGCCAGATACATCCTCGTTTCGATGTCATATTTCACATTGGCTCAGTCCCTGGCCTCAACTGGCCTCCAAGTTCACGCCCACGTTAAGACGGCAATGTACTGGAAGACAAGAAACCTGGCGCAAAATTTAAGAGTGGTGATTCTTGGGACGTTATTAAGAGAGATTATAGTTGATTGATAAGACGATGCGAAAGATGGATACATGTTCGAATGTGAATAAATCTTGATCTTTGAGGAATGACTTAAAGTGAAGATCACTATGCGCGCCACCACTTCGTCTGCGGGAGTACAGTTAGAATTAAAGACACAGTTATGGCTCGATAGTGCATTGGTACTTAATTTGCGATGGTCTGCCAACTAGGGTCTAGATAGCTGTTAGGGTATTGCTACATTTAGATAGGGTCACGTGTGATTATGGAATCGCGTAGAGCGCAAACGCGTCTGTATTTAGTTACTCTCTAGCCTTAGGTGGACCACCTTTCCTCCTTGTAGACAACCTCATTCACCAGATTTGACCTCGTCAATCTTCCACGTACCCATACCTTGACAATAGCTTGAACACTCGTCCCACTTTAGACAGCATAAGGATACTCCGAGTCCAGCAGAACTCAAACATATGTCTAGCGTTGTCAATATACATAAGTCAAGAAGGCATCATTGAGTGACAAAAGCCCTTAAAATAACTCTTTGGATTGTAATCGCAAGGGAGAATAGGCTGTTATTTGTATACATACCTTGGAGTGGTATTTTCGACTGATTTCCAGAGAAGGAGTGTCTTCAAAGTCAAAGCAGTCATTTTATATGCAGACCAGGCACACATTTGAAACAGCTGGACATCTAAATATGCATTAAACAATTATGATAACATTTTCAATTCTGTTCATTTATTATTATTCATTTTATTGTCCTGTCTGAGTCTATGACTATGTAGGACATGCAGGTCCTCTCTGCCTATAGGCCAAGGATACCTATGCCAGTAGTATATCCCCTCCTATGCCTCCCATACAGCTCCCCTCAAACAGTACCGTCCCTCACAAGTCCTCATTCGATCATACACTAAGAGGAGCCCTTAGCCCTTCATTATCTCCCCTCTCCAGCCAACGAAACGATTGCCATTTGCGGGTGTATGGCAGCCGGGTAAATCGCAAAAAACCACTGGGTGCGGAGCCCTCCTAATACCGACATTAGGAATAAATCCGAAGACATATTGCCCCTTCTGAAGCGTTCGAAGAGGCCGGCCAGCTGGACGCTGCAGACTTGCGGGTACCTCAGGAAATTCACCCTCTGCATTTCTAGCCTCCTTCCAACTCCTTCCCGAAGGTCGTGCTGAAATGTCAGAAAAGTCTTGACAGAGCGTGATTGCTGTATGGCAGCTTAGCCTAGCTTCTTTTGTGCCGTCCAGGGCGTTGGGGACTGCCGTTGAATCATCGACAAAGGAAGCCCTCCTGGCTAATTAGCCGAAATCTTCGCTTGGCGCCCATAATCAATGCAAAGTTGAAAACCCCTCGAAAATGTCAGTCCCAGCATAATCTTCGGAGACCTCTCTCCCCTCTCGCTTCACATCTCAGCTACCTGTCCTTCCTCAAGGTTTATAAGCCCATTAAAGCTACAGCCCCCATAAACCAAGACCCCAACTCTGTATATTATGACTTAATTTCCTCCTTGCGGGTAAACGTAGCGTCGTAAGTTTGTAGCCAGAGATGATCGGTAATAAATAAGGCAAGCTCCCGTTTGCAATTGGAGTAACACCTTTATCGGTCGTTGAGGCGAGGTGGTATGTGGTAAGGTTAAGGTAGAGGACTCTCGTGAGAATGCCAAAACCGACATTGATGAGAAGTCGCCGACTATAGATGTTTTTTTATATGCTTTCGGCTTCGATTTGGATGCGATTCTTCTTGGCTATCCCAGATATGCAAAGCATACTGAGCGTTTACGCCAGCACCACTGGAAGGTGAAGAATTCGACTTTGCCGGCTGATCTACACAAGTAGCAGCCCCTCTAAGTGTATGATCGAATGAGGACTTGTGAGGGGTGGTACTGTTTGAGGGGAGCTGTATGGGAGGCATAGGAGGGGATATACTACTGGCATAGGTATCCTTGGCCTATAGGCAGAGAGGACCTGCATGTCCTACATAGTCCTAGACTCAGACAGGACAATAAAGTGAATGAAGACATAAGTGGAGTGATTGACGCGGCTCTATTTTTTGGTTTTTTGCATCAGGGTTTAATTGCGTATGCACCTGTCTAGCTATGACACAATATCGCAGAACACGTCGAATGCGAGGTCTACAGCCCCACGACGACTATCTACTCTAATTTCTCGGACCAAACTGCTTTAAAGACTTC